CTATCTTTTGGTGGGTAATCATATGCGATTTATATGCAAATTTCCTTTCACACTTGTCGCACGCGAAATATTTGCGACCTTGATGGATAGTTTTTTTGTGAAAAAGTAAATGCAGTTTTCGTGTAAATTTTTGTTTGCAATTATCACATTCGTAATCTTTGCGATTTTCATGTACTGCCTTTTGGTGCCTAATCAATTCCGAATTTTCTCCAAATTTCTGCTCACAATTATCGCTTTCGTAATCTTTCCAACCTTCGTGTACTATCTTTTGATGTACGAGTAAATACGATTTTTTTCCAAATTTTTTATCGCATTCGGCGCAAGCAAAATCTTTCGGATCTTCGTGCACTGTTCGTTGGTGCACAAACAAATTCGATTTCTGCCCAAATACCTTCTCACAAATGTTGCATGTGAAATCTTTGCTATTTTCGTGTATTGTCTTTTGGTGGTAGAGCCAATTCGATTTGTGAGCAAATTTCTTTTCACACTTGTCACATGCAAAATCTTTGCGACCCTCGTGGACTGTCCTTACGTGCATAAGTAAACTCTGTTTATTTCCAAATTTCTTGGCGCACTTTTCACACAAGTAATCTTTGAAACCGTCGTGGAATATTTTTTTATGCTTCAGTAAAGTTGTTTTATTTTCAAATTTCTTCTCGCACTTGTTGCATGTGAAATTTTCGCGATTTTTGTGTACTAATTTTTGGTGCGTAGACAAACTTGATTTTTTCTCAAATTTTCTCATGCATTGATCGCATGCAAACTCTTTTTGGCCTTTGTGTTCTGATATTTGGTGTCTATTTAAATGACTTCGGAACTCAAATGTCTTTTCGCACTTGTCACATACATAATTTTTCTCTTTATTGTGAATTGGATCTCTGTGAGTTACCATACTTGATTCTATTATAAATGCCTCGTGGCCAATATCACAAACGTATTGTTTATCGTCGGAAACAGCAATGTCTCGTTCACTTGAGTTATCTTTAAAGACAACGTTCTCGGATTTCTCCTCACTTTTATCCATTTTGGTGCTTAAAATAAACGATGGACCAGTCTTATGAGTAACAGGGAAATTTAACAAGTACAACATACGTTCTGGTATGATGGCTTGTTTAGTCGGGAAAGACAATATTCAAACTAAATTGTCTTACTATAAACATGAGTACAATGTATGATGTCAAAACCGTTCATTAGAACATTGTTTACAATAAAATTACCGATGTATTCATTCATATATTTTGCTTACAATATTTATGCCAGTTTATTATTCAAACTTGGTGACCATTTGTGTGGAGAATTTTTTGGGACTCGTTAAACTCTGTCCTTAAAAAATCTCTCTTTGTCATAATGTTATAAAATTGTGTCTGTGTAAAGTTAAAAAAACATTTCAATATTTCTTCCATAATTTGCCACCACAGCGTGCTTCATAACCCACCACCGAACATAAGGTAGTTATTTAATTTGCTTGGGAAGCAAATTTCAGAAGCAAAAAGCATGTTTAATTTTATACCATATTTGAAAAAACCGCGATGATAATTTTCAAAGAAGTATTATAGCTTCTTCTTGGCGACAAATCATCCATTAGCCACTGTCGACGTATACTTATCACCGCGAAAAATTTGAATTAATACGTAATTCCAGCAGTTCTTTTCAGCCAAGAACTAGCAGGTATTGTAGCAGTTATTGAGTTTGAGTCGAGACTGTTGGATGTGTCGAAATGTCCATCTTCTTGTTCCGACATCTCGCGAGAAATCATCTCCTTCCGACTGCGAGATCTAGCACAGATGATTATTATTACTTCGATTTTTAGGTAAGACACTAAAAAGCGCACGAGCTTTTGTCGAGTTTGAATTTAATCAAAGGCTAATTAGAAAAAGAGTTTTCAAAAACGATTATAAAAAATTCTTACTAATTTTTCTTATTATTTATTATTTTATTATTACTAATTTTGATGAAATATAGAAAGAATTTCTTCGCTAAATTCAAATTATCAAAAAATTTACAAGTTTCTTTTTGCAGTAAAAACTCAATGTTATAACTGATCGCGTGTGTCTAAGCAGATATTATCAGTCTAGCTTGCAAGCTCATCGAAATCTTTCAATAGTACATGTTCGATAAATTGAAGATCGCGATATTATGACGTGAGGTTTATCAAAAATCTAGTTCCAAATAAAATATGAAAATAACTCTTAGCTGATCGTTGAAGAGCTGCAAGTGAGCAAGTAGCCAAAAATAAAAACCACCATTGCTTTCAAAGGCGCACTGATTATTGTTATCAAGTAGGACGCAATCATATATTGGCACAATTTTTATCAAAATTTAAGTAATCGTCTGTATAAATATCTATAAACATTAAAATCCTTTATAACTCTATTGCCTGAGCTATTCGACTTGTTGTCCAAATTTTATCTTGCAGGTCTTGCGTAGTATTGTCATGCGCAGTCTTTATGACCTTCATGGATTTTTCTTTGGTGAGATAGCAAACTCCATTTGTGTCCAAATTTTTTATCGCACTTGTCGCATGTGAAATCTTTGCGACCTTCGTGGACTGTTTTTTTGTGTAAGAGCAAATGCGGTTTTTGTCCAAATTTCTTCTCGCACTTGTCGCATGCGAAATCTTTGCGACCTTCATGGACTGTCTTTTGGTGTAAGAACAAATACGGTTTATGTGAGAATTTCTTTTCGCAATTGTCACATGGATAATCTTTGCGACCTTCGTGAACTGTTTTTTGGTGAAGAAGCAAATTCTGTTTGTGTCCAAATTTTTTCCCACACGTGTCGCATGCATAATTTTTGCAATCTTCATGAACGTTTTTGCGGTGCTGAATCATAATCCATTTTAGTCCGAATTTCTTTCCGCACTTATCGCATTCAAAATCTTTGCGATGCCCATGGGCTACTGTCATGTGCAAGAGCAAATGCGATTTTTGTCCGAATTTCTTTTCGCACTTACCGCATACGTAATCTTTGCGACCCTCATGTATTGTTTTTTGGTGCAAAAGCAGGTTGCATTTTCGTGCAAATTTCTTTTCGCAATCGTTACATGGATAATTTTTGCGATCATCGTGGACTGTTCTTTGGTGAACAAGTAAATTCGATTTTATTTCAAAATTTTTCTCGCATTGGTTGCATGTGAAATCTTTCTGACTTTCGTGTACTTTTCTTTGGTGGTAAAGCAAAGTTGATTTATATTCGAATTTTATTTGGCACTTGTCGCATGCGTAATCTTTACGGCGTTCATGTACCGTTTTTTGGTGTCTGATCAAATTACCTAGGCTCACGAATTTTATTTCACACTTATCACATGCATAATCTTTGCGTCGTTCATGGATTGATCTTTGGTGGAAAAACAAACTCGATTTTTGGGTAAATTTCTTCTCGCACTTGTCGCATGCGAAATCTTTGCGATTATTGTGTACTTTCCTTATGTGCAAGAGCAAACTATATTTAGTATCAAATCTCTTTGCACACATTTCACATAAGTAATTTTTGAAAACTTCGTGAAATATTTTTTTGTGCTTGAGTAAACTTGATTCATTTTCAAATTCTTTCTCGCACTTGTTGCATGTGAAATTTACGCGATTTTTGTGTACTAATTTCTGGTGCGTAGACAAACTCGATTGTTTCACAAATCTCTTATCGCACTGATCGCATGCAAAATCTTTTCGGCTTTTGTGTTCAGATATTTGATGTCTACTTAAATGACTTCGAAACTCAAATATCTTTTCGCACTGGTTACATGCAAAATCTTTTTTTTGATTGTAAATTGTGCCTCGGTGAGTTACTATACTTGATTCTAGCCTAAATGCCTCCTGAGATATATCAATAGCATATTGTTTGTCGTCGGAAACAACAATGTCATGTTCACTTGAACTATTTTTCGAGACGATTTCTTCGGATTTTTCCTTTCTTTCGTCCATTTTAGTATCTGAATGAATCGATGGATTCCATTTAGTGACACGAAAATTGAATAATCAAAACGTATCTCGTAAACGGACTATGACTTATTTGGTCGGGAAAGACAACATTTAAACTAATTTGTCTTACTGTAAACATGGTTAGAGTTTTAATGATAATGACGAAAACGTTCACAAGCACATTGTTTACAATAAAATTACCGATTTATCTATTAATATATTCCGCTTACAATAAATAGACCTTCATATCAGTTCTATTACTCAGTATGTGCTCAAAAACATTGAAAAAATTTTTTATTTCTTGCTTTTTTTCACATCTGTTGGCATACAAACTTTTTTATAACTCTAATCAAAATTTCACGAAACTTAGCCCATGAAGGATACTTTTCTGGAGATTTTGATTCCTATTAGAGAATCCCCCTCTAAATAACTCTGATCTGAACCTGGCGCACAGTGCGGAAGGGCTGAAATAGCAAAAATAAGCTATGTTAAGTTGCAAAGGCCTATTCTGCAACTGTTTTCACATCTTTTAAGGCTCAAAGATGTCAATTTTATTTTGAAAATGTAGATTGACATTAAACTGTAGTTTATATCACAAAAATGACTAAGAGGATTGAATTGATGTATGACTCCCCTTGATTCGATCGTAATGTAACTAATTTTTTATTTATTTATTGTTACTAATTTAGAAAGAATTTCTTGGCTAAAATTAAATTATCAAAAAATGTACAAGTTGTTTTTGCAGTAAAAACGCATTGTTATAAGTGATCACATGTTTTTAAGCAGATATAATCAGTCTGCCTGCAAGCTCATCAAAAGCTTTCAATAGTACATATTCGATAAATTAAAGATCGCGATATTATGACGTGAGGTTTATCAAAAATCTAGTTCCAAACAAGACACTCAAAGGTGTAGTGAGAGTGCATATCTAGTAAGACAAAATCATATATTGGCACAATTTTTATTAAAATTTTATAAGTCGTCTGTATAATTATCTATACACATTTAAAACTATTATATAACTCTAGTGCCTGAACAATTGGACTTGTCTAAATTTCATCTTGCATTTCTCGCGTAGTAGAGTCAAGCGCAGTCTGTACGCCTTCTTTGGTGGGAGAGCAAATGCGATTTATGTCCGAATTTTTTCTCACACTTGTCGCATGCGTAGTCTTTCCGACCATCATGAATTGTCCTTAGGTGGGCGAGCAAACTCTGTTTTTGCGTGAATTTCGTCTCGCATTTGGTACATGCATAATCTTTACAACCTTCATGGACTGTTCTTTCGTGAATGAGTAACGTCCTTTTAGCTCCAAATTTCTTCTCGCACTTGTCGCATGCGAAATCTCTGCGACCTTCGTGAACTGTCTTTTGATGTATGAGCAGAGATGATATATATCCAAAATTTTTTTCGCATCGGTCACATGTGATATCTCTCCGGCCTTCGTGTACTGTTCTTTGGTGGAGAAGCAAATACTCCTTACGTCGAAATTTCTTTTCGCACTTGTCACATGTAAAATTCTTCTGACCTCCGTGTATTGTCTTATGGTGCATTATTAAACTCGATTTGAACGCAAATTTATGCTCACAATTATCACATGAATAATCTTTGCGACGTTCGTGAACTGACTTTCGGTGCTTTAACAAATCTGCTTTACATCCATATTTCTTTTCGCATTTGTCGCATTCAAAATCTTTGCGACCTTCGTGAATAGTTTTTTTGTGATAAATTAAATGCGATTTTAGTGTAAATTTTTTTTTGCAATTATCACATTCGTAATCTTTGCGACCCTCATGTATTATTTTTTGGTGCATAAGCACATCGGATTTTCGTGCATATTTCTTTTCGCAATTGTCACATGGATAATCTTTCCGACCTTCATGTTCAGTCTTTTGGTGTGAAAGCAAATTTGATTTATATCCGAATTTTTTTTCACACTTGTCGCATACGTAATCTTTGCGACCCTCATGTATTGTTCTTTGGTGAACAAGCAAATTTGATTTCTGTCCAAATACCTTTCCGCATTTGCCGCATGTGAAATCTTTGCGTTGTTCATGGATTGATTTGTGGTGGTAAAGCAAACTCGATTTTTGGGTAAATTTCTTCTCACACTTGTCACATGCGTAGTCTTTGCGACCTTCGTGAACTGTTATTTGATGGGTGAGTAAAGTTGCTTTTTGTCCGAATTTCTTCTTGCATTTGTCACATGCATAATTTTTGAGACCTTCGTGTACTGTTTCTTGATGTCTAATCAAATGTTGACAATTATTAAATTTTTTCTCGCACTCGCCGCATGCATAAACTTTCTGACTTTCGTGCACTGGTTTCAGGTGCATGAACAAATTCGATTTTTTTCTAAATTTCTTTTCGGATTTGTCGCATGTGTCATCTTTGCGATGCTCGTGTACTGTCTTTATGTGCAAGAGCAAACTATGTTTAGTATCAAATCTCTTTGCGCACATTTCACATAAGTAATTTTTGAAAACTTCGTGGAATATCTTTTTATGCTTCAGTAGAGTTGTTTTATTTTCAAATTTCTTCTCGCACTTGTTACACGTGAAATCATTGCGATCTTTGTGTACCAATTTCTGGTGCGTAGTCAAACTCGATTTTTTCACAAATTTCTTCTCGCACTGGTCGCATGCAAAATCTTTTTGGCTTTTGTGTTCCGATATTTGATGTCTACTCAAATGACATCGAAACTCAAATATCTTTTCGCACTGGTTACATGCAAAATCTTTACGATCATTGTAAATTGTGCCTCGGTGAGTTACCATACTTGATTCTAGCCTAAATGCCTCCTGAGAAATATCAGGAACGTATTGTTTGTCGTCTGAAACAACAATGTCATGTTCCCTTGAATTATTTTTCGAAACAATTTCTTCGAATTTTTCATCACTTTCATTCATTTTAGTATCGGAATTAATCGATGGATTCTATTTAGTGCCACGAAAATTGATTAAGTAAAATTTATCTCCTGGTACTATGACTTATGTGGTCGGGAAAGACAACATTCAAACTAATTTGTCTTACTGTAAACATGATTAGAGTTTGAATGATGATGTCAAAACCGTTCACAAGCACATTGTTTATAATCAAATTACCGATTCATGCGATCATTTATATATCGTTCTTACAATTTTCAAGACAGTTTATTATTCAAACTTGGTGACGATTAATTTGGAAAATTTTTTTGGACTTCTTAACCTCAGTCCTTAAAAAAAACTCTCTTACATTAATTAATGTTATTAAAATGTTTCATATCCATTTCAAAATTTTCCGCTATACTGTGTTAGGCGTGCTTCATAACCCACCACCAAATACAACGTTCGCTTTTCCGTTTCCAAAGCTCAGGATACGTCACCGCTTATGTTTAATCTTATCCCCAAGGTGGAATAAACCACGATGATAATTTCCAAAGAAATGTAGCTTCTGCTCGGCGACGAACGACTATAAAATCATTCACGCGCCACCGCCGTCGTCGTATACTTATCACCGCGGAAAAAAATTTGAATTAATACGTAATTTCAGCAGTCCCTTTTCAGCTATTCTCGCACACGAGCAGTTATACACACCGCGATGCGAGGCTTGCAGCGTGAAAAATGAAGGCAGCGGAGCGCCGGCAAAAAGTATTACGGTAGGCGCGCAGTTTACTCTCTCTCTCTCTCTCTCTCTCTCGCGCCGCACTTTACACGCGGCCCGAGATCGTAAAATAGAAAAACTTTTCCGGCAGTCGTAGTGGTGGGTGCTGGTGGCGCAACTTATATATATATACGTACAAGAAGGAAAGGTGTCGTCGTCGTAGTAGACCGTCCCCGGCTTTTTGTCGTTGCCGCCGCCGCTGCCGCTGCTGCGGGAACTAGATATTATATGCACTCAGCGTAATGTATATAAAAGCTGCGCCGAGGAAGTCTCTTGTTTTCATGGCGCAGCCTCGAGTCATCCGGCTCTTTCTCTCTCGCTGCCACACTACCACCGCCGCGCGGCATATATATACAAAGTGACTTCGTCGATCTTGTACTTTTAAGGAGGCTGTAGCGCTGTAGGAGGTTCTACAATTGAGTGCTCTAGTACTGGTATTGCGCGGTGCGTTACGCAGTGCCGCAGCACGTAGCGCCGCCGGCGGCAAGCAGCAGACAGCAGCGTCTGCTACAGCTGTGGTACATGTGTTATACAAGGCTCGGCTCTGCTTCTTTTTTCGCCAATTCTTTTTTCGTTTTTAAATAATGGATTTAAATAAATTAGGACTTAGCAAACAAACAAGAGGTAAATTTAAAGGTCGGTTCATGAAAATAAAAAGTAGTGAAAGAAAAGAAAAATCTGTGCAAGGTGCAAGGAAGGCGTTGGAGGCGAAGAAAAGAAAATCTGTAAGTATATACATAAAAGTATAATGCGGTGTTTCATTTACTTGATATATTTGTCAACAGTAATAAATATAATTTTTTTCCAGACTGAGCCTGATGAAGAAGAGGTAGGAGCGGCGAAGTCTATGAACATCTCAGGCAGCCGGATTGTCAACATTGAAACTTTAAAAAATAATATGTGGTGCTATGCGTGTCAAATACCCCTATCATTCAAAAATGTAATTGCTGAACAGCAGAAAGGATTAGTTAGCTTTTTCACTATTGCCTGCACTAAGTGTAAACTGAATCACTGCATAAAAACCAATGAAAATGAAATTAACGACCAGCTGGCCCTAGGTTAGTCTAAATACATTTATTTCTATAATTATTGTAACTATGGAGCGAGTAAGTTTACAATCATCTTTTCATTTTACAGGAATGTTAGATACAGGGACAGGAACATCACAGATCAACTCACTGCTAAGTACATTGGACATCCCTACTGTATCTAAAACAACCATGAAGAGACATGAAAGGATTGTAGGAGTTGCTATCGAAGATGTAGCAAAGAACTCTTGTGTTGAGAGCATACTTTTAGAAAAAAAATTAGCAGAAGAGAAGTAGGCCTCTACAAATAATTACAGTATTGGCTTGCATCTGTGAATTCAGATTCAATATATAAAAAAGTATTTTGAACCATGTGATACTGACACATAATCATGTTTATGAAATTGTACATATAATCATGTCTAGAAATTGTACATATAATCATGTCTATGAAATTGTACATATAATCATGTCTATGAAATTGTACATATAATCATGTCTATGAAATTGTACATAATATAAATGAAAATGAAATTTTACGTAGTACATAAATGGAATCACTAATGGATTATAGTACATTGTATGCTATACAATTGTAATTCATCGTTAAGTTTTTATTTCTTTTTTTATTGTTTATATTTTGTTACTCTTTTTTTACAGTCCATCAATTATACCACCAATTGTTAAAATTATTTTAACATTAATCAATTCATATTTTTTGATGATTTTTTTTATTGACAGTTTATTTTTTTAGTAATATTTAAAATTATAATAAGTTTATACGGTTATTATTATTTTTTGTTATGTAAAGTTTTCATATACAGATTTATGATCAATTTATAGCAATACTTTTATATATATTTTATCTGTGCATTCACAGATGCAAATAAAGAAATAAATCTCACGACAAAACCAATTTATTTGTTATTTCTCTTATTTTACACAGAGAAAATTCCTGCAACACTAATATATCTTCAACTACCTCGAAGACTTTATTGAAAGGGTCGTTTGACGGTGCCTGGCAAAAACGTGGAACCGGTCACGCGTATAATAGTTTGTCCGGTACACATATTTTATTTCGAACGTGCGTTAATTTCAGTATCAAGGCAACGAGTAAATTTAAATTTTAGGTCATGCAGCCGTTATAGGATACCACTCGGGGAAGATATTGTCTTATGCTGTCCGCTCGAAAGATTGTCGATTGTGTGCACTTGGACATGAACCACAAGACCATGATTGCCGTAAAAACCATACTGGATCGGCTAAATCGATGGAAGCCAGTATGGCCGTGGAGCTTTATACGAAGAATGTTTTATTGGAAGATAATGGAGCTGCTTTGAATGTTTTTATCGGCGATGATGACTCGAGCACGATTTCTGCTATCCGTAGAGAGAGCAGAGTGGTGATCGATAAGTGGTCCGATTTCAATCACACAAAAAAAAATTTTGTTAATGATCTCTACGAACTGAAATTATCGAAGGCCCTAATTGAATATTTCTCTTATAAATTCTCGCTCGCAATTAAAATGAATAAAGGCGACGAATTGGCCATAAAAAAATCTTTAGATCAAATAGTTCCTCATGCATTCGGAGATCACTCCGTATGCTCTGATGATCGTGGGTGTAAAATTATGGGCGATACTTACGTTTACTTGTTTCTGCCGCGTAGACGATGTCTGACCGATCTAAATTTGCGCGCAGATCTAACATCAATTATCGCTAGGTTCTCGCAAAATGCCGCGAAAATAGCCCAGTGTGGGTCAACTCAAGCTAATGAGTCATTTAATAATTTAGTTGCCTTGAAAAACCCAAAAAATAAACATTATGGTGGATCATCATCGTTAAATTTTAGAGTGGCTGCGTCTGTGTGCCAAAAAAATTATGGATATGATTACACATCGAGAATTTTACAACGATTAAAAGTGAAATCAATGTTTATTTCCGAGCAATACAGACTAAAACAAAAAAAATTAGCTATGCAAAACAGCGCGCGCAAGAGCTCCAATAAATTCAAAAAAGGCCGTCAGTCTTTAAAAAAAGTAAGGAGCAATGAAAGTTCCAAGTCAAAGAAAAAAGAAGGCACATCGTACAAGAGTGGAATGGGCCTATATGATGTGTCCGAACTAATCGATTCAAATCAAAATATATTGATTGTGGACGAATCACTTCCTCCATTAGATGAGTGTCACATAGTTTTGTTCGACTTAGAGACAACTGGACTATCGATCTACGACGACATCGTACAGGTACAAATGCCTACTTTACGTACATATATTTCTTTTATAATTTGAAACGAAAATTTATTATAGATATCAGCTGTCAACTCTTCCAATGAAGTATTCAATTGTTATATTTCTCCGTCAAGACCGATGACGAAAAAGGCGTCGCAAGTTACAGGCTTGACCGTGATAGACGGAGATCTATACTTTAGAGATGAAAAAGTCAATACAGTATCAGCCGAAAGCGGTGCTGATTCGTTTTTACATTATATTGAAAATTTGAAAGGTCCTGTGATTTTAGTTGCGCATAATGGTTTTAGGTTCGTTAATATTTTTACGACTAATTTCATTGATTTCAATTTTATATTTTAACATTTTATAAATACTTCAGGTTTGATACTCCGAGAATAATAAAACTAATTTCAAAAGTACAAAAGATGGAACGATTTTGTCTTTCCGTAAAAGGCTTCAGCGACACACTGCCTATTTTCAAAAAAAAATTGCCCGAGAGAGTAAGAGCAAAAGAAAAATTCAAAATATCAGCTCTTGCAGAAAGTTTCTTACCCAATGTAGATATAGGTTGTTTGCATAACGCAATTGACGATGTGAGAGTAATGAAACAATTACTCGTTCATCAAAAAATCGATGACGAGCTTTTATACAAATATGCCAAAAGTATTTCATCCATACAAAATAGTGCCGCTAATGAAGAAATTATAAAAATGAACAAAGCCACTCTTGAGATTTTCAAAAATGACTTCTCAAACCAAATGTTAAAAAAAATGGCATCGAATGGCATAAACTACAACATTTTAAAAGAATGTTATGAAAAAAATGGTCAAGAAGGCATTTTATTTTTATTTACAGAAAATGTGAATGAAAAACCACGAGTCACTAAAGATAAAAAAATTTTAGATACTGTTAAAAAGTTATTTCCCAAAAAATAATATTTTTATAATTTTATTGTTTGTTTTGTTTAAAAATATTGTTTTTTAGTCATTATTTCATTAAAAACCACATGTACAAATAAATAAATAGTCATAAGTAGAGAAAAACACATTTTTATTACTCAAACCTTGAATTCAGTGAATTTCAAATTTTGAATTACGCGCCACTCGTTGACGTCGGGTGACCCGGTATCGCTACGGTACAAATTTTCAAAAAATCATAATTTGTTTATTTGCACGGAAACCCCCATTTTTTATTGTACCATTCGAAAGCTAATGAAATTTTCTATAACATATGTTAATTTCATAAACTTCTTAAGTGATTTGAGCTCACAGTACACTAAAGACTGCCTGCTCCCATTTAAATCAATGTTAAATTGCCGAAACTTTGAAATTCCATATTTCCCAAATTTGCACGGAAACCCCCAATTTTTTTTTTACCAAAAATCTTGTAATTTCACTAACTATCAGTGGTTAAAATTTCATTAAGATCTTAAGTCTTTTTCATTTTCGCTACAGCCTCCTTAAAGCGCTATATGCTGCTAGGCTCGTTGCCGCTGACGTCGTCGCCTACTCCTGCACCACCGTTGCTGCATTTACTTTGCTTGGTAGCGCGCGCGCGAAATTTTCCAAGTAAAGTGGTTTCCTTCGACCTTATGTATATGCGTTTTTCTTCGTCCTCTCTCGCACTTTTTTTTTCACCACGCCTCTCTCTCTCTCTTCTCCTTCGCTTCATTTTCCTTTATGCCGTGGCGCACACTCTTTGCGCGCTACACTCTGTCATTTCCATCTGTTTTCTCCTTTTTTTTTTTGCTCTGCCTCGCTCACGAGCTTGCGAGCCATTTACGCGAGCTCGTTCGGTTCTCGCTCGCTCGCTGTACACCTTTCTCTGTCTCTCTCTTTTCTCTTCTTCTTTTTTCCGCACGTGCTCGGTCGCGCGAACCTTTCATCCGTGCGCACACCTGCTTTTCGTATATTACATGCGTATGCGCGTGTACCGACAAGGTGTTAATTTTCACGCGCGCACAAAAGATCGTTTGTGCGCCGGCTTGAGGTTGCCTTTTCTTTCATCCTCATTGTTATCCAGTTGCCGGCTGGATATATACGCGAGCTGCTTTTTTTGCTGCTGCTGCCTTCTACCTAAATACTGTGCGCGAACGTAAGGCATCACCTATATATATATGCACGCACCGTAGTATAAAAGCCGATGCTTTGATTAAAAAATCTCCTTAATGATCAAAAGGCGCGCTCCACGCTCGCGCTATATATAATTAAAGTTTTTAAAGCGCAAAGATCGTAATGGTATTTGCTTAGTCCACTACTTTTTGCCTCGAAAAGATTCTACACATTCTCAAGTAAAATAGTAATAAAAAAAAAGAAAGAAATAAAATGAGAATTACGACCGTAGAGTAAACTTGAAAAAAAAAAAAGGAAAAAAAGCTCGAGCACGCTGGGAACCCCCCCGTATATAGAATCAGAATTCATGCCAATGAAAAAAAGAGCGAAGGTCTTGAAATGTTTTTTCTCGCGCAAAATCTCGAATGGAACGTCAACAGCTGAACAAATTCACTTGTGTTATATAAGAGCCAGGGAGAGAAAGAGTAAGATTCAACCGGCGGCGGGAGGTGCTGCTGGTCTCTTGTACTATACACACACTCTTGCGAGAAAAGCCGAAGCGACGAACTTTTTCATCCTCGCTCGCTTCCTCTCTCTCTGTCTCTCATCTCGACAACGTGGCATTTGTCTAGTGGAAAATTAAATTTTACAAGCTACTTCACTCTCACTTATCTTTTTTTTTTTTTGTTTGTTTTCTTTTCACTTTTTTTTTTTTTATACATCCTCGACGGACCTCTTCCGTTTGAATTTACTTCCACTCTCGCATACACTATTTGTCCATTCGTTTTTCCATTCTCTTCTTTTTCTTTTTTTTGTCATCCTAGCCCCGGCCCCAGCCTCGGCAGCAGCAGCAGCAGCAGCCGCTTCATTTATCTTAGCGCAACAGCAGCAGCGAAACACGAGACACTATATAGGTAAGAGGGTGGCCTCGACGCGACGCGCATTCAAATGTACATTGGCATAGTCGCAGCAACGGCAACACGACGCGTCGTGTTGTTGGTCCAAGCGGCGTACGATAAACACCGCGCCGGAATGAAAACAATAAATTTGCACAGCGCCGTCGTCGTCGTCGTCGTCGTCGTAGACGTGCAGGCCCGCGCCTACCACTGCTGCTGTTCGCGACGTGCTTTGAAATTTTACGTGTATCATACCTATATGGTCGCAGATCTTTGCGAAATTCTTCAAAAATGACCGCGCGGCTAAACGAGCGAACAAATTGTCGCAACGAACGAACGACGCACACAGCGAGCTTTTTGATCCCGTCGCAAGCTCCGTCGTTGTACGTCTTAAGCGCGCGGGCGTAAAATTGCAGGGCAAAAATTTAGCGTCTGCCCGCATATAACTCGGGTAGAGAGCCATGCGGCCCTGTTTTACGGCGAGCTCGTATAAGACGCGCGTAGCTCTCGGTCCGGCGTACAAGTGTACACACAACCGAGCCATACCGTATATATACTATATATAGCATAGTTTATACGCGTAAAAGCAGCTTCCACCGTACGGCGAATTTCCGCAGCAAATATTTCCAGCTGTTATTTACAGGCCAGCGCGAGAACTGCGCACGGTCGTCGTCGTCGTCGTCGTCGTTCTAGATGGCCGCCTCGCGCCGGTGGGTATAAATTTTACCTCGTGTTGGCTTAACTCTGCGTGCCACACACGTATGACTATGTGTGTGTATATATGTGCGAGCAACGAAGCTTCGGGTGCAACAAACCCGCAGAACGAAAGCTATGTATGAGATATCTCGGTTACGTATATATTATATACGAGGCACACAAAAAGCTCAACATACCCTCGTATTATATTGCCTTTGTGCACGTGGGTATAAGATACATTTATAATAATAATAATATATACGGGTCGAATGCAGCACGGAACATTGAGTTGCGTGCGCGCCTTATCATTTTTTTTGTGCTGTTGTTGTGGCTTTCTCTCTTTCGTCGTTAGCGCGGCAATGATATGAAAATTTATGAAAATGATCGAGACCCAGGATACATTATTTTATTACGCTGTAGCGTGTAATGCATTCCTAGAATGAAAAAAGAGCAAAGAGAGAAGAGAAGAGGTAGATTTCGCTCGGAAGTAGTGCTATTTACCGCTGCTGCGTGCTCGGCCTCGAATTGCCGGTGTTTCGACAACCTAAGAACCTTCGTTCGGCTTCTAGATATGATACAGACAAAAGTCAAAATGATTAAATTAAATCGCTTGTTGTACAACGTATTGTGGAGGGGACGATTTCGAGCGAGCATGCAGGATTTGGCGGGAGTTTCATTGTAACCCTAGTAGGAGAAGTAGCTTCTACTAATACCCTGAAGAATTGTTTATCTTTTTCGGGTACGGGTTTTTTATGTCGCTGCGCCACCTGGCGGCTGGACTCGAAGCTTCGTATGGTAGAAGTGGCAGAGGAGCGTAAATGAATATTCGAGTTGTACGTTTGACCGAGTTCACTATTGAGGTAGTAATTGTCCCTATATAGGCCTCACTCTCGGGTATTCGTGCGGCGCAGAGTCCGAGCACGATGTGCAGTGCGCTCCGGCATACCGCCGCGAGACGACTGTTCCTATACAGTCCCCCAAAATTGCTCGCTTATGTACACAGCGAACCACGCGCTGATTGGCCGGTGCCGCGAGGTGGGGACGAGTGCAGCGGTGCACGTCGTTTGAGTAGAGACGCACGCAGTGGTCTCGAGCGTTCATCACTCATATTCCTGAAAATTTTTGAAACCCGTGCTTTAACTTACACGATTATGTTCACTTTGCCACTTGTGGGTTTACAGATAGAGGTGCTCGCCATCTAGCGGTAGAGGCTTGAAGTAGCATTATAATACTCCAAGTGTTTGAAAACTCGTCTAAATTTTTCGAAACGGTTAAACTGTCTTTTACAGGTATATAATTCTAACAGAAAAATATCCTCAAAAAATAAGCCAACAAATGATAAACATAATTCAGAGAATATATTTTAAATGGTCATTAGATCATTGTTACAAAATGTCGAGCACTTTTACCAGGAATGAAGATTGGCGCGAACACAACGGAGCCGTTTATACAAAAGCTCACAACTCGCGCTCGTTCGCGGGTTAAAAGATCGAAGCGAACGGATATATACACTCATCTCGAGCCGAGTCAGAAGCTCCTATTCGCCCTTTTACGCTATTACGCCGGCTGAGCGCTGCAGCACCATATACATTGTTCCAAAACGCTTTTAACGCGAGTATTTTAATTAGTATAAACTCGTAAGTTTCGAATGTACCTTATGTACGCGAAATATAAACGCGCGCACACAGAGGCGCGCAGAAGTCAAAATGAAGTTTCCTTGTGAAATCAAATCTATTCAGCGTTGGCAAAGGTAGCTGTAGCTGCCTCCGCACTCTATATACACACACACACACAGGAAAGAGTAGATAGAAAGAGCAGACAGCTCTCTCTCTCTCTCTCTCTCGGCTGCCTTTGCAAAATATTGAATTATAATGCAGCGCGTTGCATTCTGCGCATTCCGCGCGTATCCCAGAGTGCAGCTGAGAGAGAGAGAGAGAGAGAGATTTTTGTTTCAAAATGCGCGAGTCTCTCTCTTTCTCTATCCCGATAAAGCCTGCAGTGCAGCTCGAGCTTCGCCTGCTCTCCATTCATCGAGCCTCTTTCAGCTTATTCATTCGGCGAGAAATCCACGCGCGTACATTTGAAAAGCTCCGCACGTATCGGGTAGTATACACACACACACACACACACACACACACACACACACACACACACACACACACACACACACACACACACACACACACACACACACACACACACACACACACACACACACACACACACACACACACACACACACACACACACACACACACACACACACACACACACACACACACACACACACACACACACACACACACACACACACACACACACACACACACACACACACACACACACACACACACACACACACACACACACACACACACACACACACACACACACACACACACACACACACACACACACACACACACACACACACACACACATACACAGACACAGACACAGGAGCTTTAAGGAGGAGAAATGCTAAACGTTATTCCGCTGCGCCATGCGAGTCTCGAAAATTACGTTGTTTTTGAGAGAGAGAGAGAGAAAAGTTGAAACAACAAAAGTAATTAAATTGTTGGTCTATGCGTTGGCCCGGCTGCAATTTGCGGTTCTCGCGAGCGGCGCGTTAAGTTATATACATACTTATACACGTACATAATATAACGCGGTGCGCGTAGCACGCGATGAATGGGTTAATTTACGGTGAAAATACACACACACACAAGACAAAAGGCAGCGGCGCATGCGAGAGGAAATATCGCGCGTAACGCCGGTGGGTTAATGTAGCGAAAACACAAGTCGCGCGCGCGCGGGTTAAAATGATGTAAAGTAGTGTGTACATCGGGCCGGAGGTGCTGTATGCATAATGCGGCGAGGCTATGATGCAACGAAAAAAAAATACCTACACAGAAGTAAAGCGAGCGCTAGGCGAGGTGCAAAGAACAAAAAAAAAGAAGAGAAGAGAAGAGAAGAAGAGTAAGAGGGAGAGAGGATAAAAAGAAACACATAATGCGAGCGCTACGAGTAAGTAACTCCGAGGCCAAAAGAGCCGAAAAATAGAGCGAGCGCGCGAATATTCTCCGAGATAAAGAAACTTTGCAGTATGGTATAGTAGTTGCGGAAAGAGAGAAGCGGAAGACTCTATCTTTCTTTCTCTGTGTGTGTGAGCGCTGGAAAACGGCGAAAAATGTATATACGGAAGAGAAGAAGTTCTTTTGGGGGCTCATGGTAGAGAGACGATCGCTTAAATAGAGACGCGTAAAAGAGAGAGAGCCATTACGAGTCCTTTATACGTTTTACGATATCCCACCCCGCCCTACGGTCATTAATGTATAACGTTATTACTATTATATTTTTTTTCATCTTCGTAAATTCAATAATAATACGCGCGAGATGTGCCGTTGGCCCCCTACAGCTCGCGAGCGAGCTTTCGAAGATATATAAAATTAACGGCCCTTACACAGAGCGCTCGTAACCGGTAATTCAAAATAACATTCAAATTTCGCTGGATATCGCACGAGATTCTTTCCACACATAACTTTTTATGGATTTTTAAAATTACGACTTATAAAATTTTACCCACTTAATGAGGTTGTAAATAACGGCTCGCGCGCGAGCTCCAAAAGAAACGGAGTATAAAAGGCTCGAATGAAAATGTACAGATCGAGCGTTTAATGCCTTGTTCTCCCCGTTTTTTTTTCTATTAAAGCTCGTATAATTAAATCTCTTTTTCTCTCTCTGGAACGCGATCGTTTCATTCACGTATATACGAGGCAATGAATCGTTATAAATCTTTCTCTCTTTCTCTCTCAGCGTACAGAAACTTTGAAAAAGATAAATCGATGCCGAGCTTTTCGAAATTAACTTTATAAAATTGCTTTTGAAAATCGAGAAAACTATAATGTGTAAACAGCGTTTCGCTTCGCCCAGCTAATTTTCGATAATGAACATCGAAGTATTTATTACCCAAAGTTAACTTTGTATTATAATAGCTTGTCCCGGTAAAAATTAAATAAACCACGGGATAATTAGATTCCGTATTAGTTCGTGAACGGAATAAAGAAAAAAGAGCGGCACGAGAATTGCCTCGATAATGCTAGTAAACGCTCGGTTGCATAGATGCGGGCAAATCGACGTGGCTTTTTTTACGGGGGAAAAAAATAAGAAAAGGAAATATCGAACATCGACACGCGGCATATAGTTGGCGACATTTTGAAAGACATTGATTCGAAAAAAAAATTTTTGCAGACGACATAACGACCCAAAAAATTTAAAAAGAGCAACTTTTGAAAAGAAATAATTTTTTTTTAGTTTGCACTGGACGCTTGAACTTGGAGTATGGTTATACTCGACATTAATGCTACATCTTACCACCATCATGCAAATTAAGTATCATATTTGCAACGATTAATTTACATGATGATGGCTTGACCTTCGCAGCTTTTTCTGCATCTATCTCAAAAATTGTGGCTCTCGCAATTACAATATGCACGTAACGATCAGCTGACCCCTCAGTAAAATTTAATCAATTTCAAATTTCTTTAGTTCCACGGGAACGTGAACACTATTCTATACGAGGGAAAGTTTTTATTTTAGACATTCCTGCAATATGAGATTTCGTAGCATCGATCTCGCTTCGCTTTCATGGAAGCCGAGAGTGTTCGGTAGGTCGATGGGTAATCGCGATAATAAAAGTCAGACGATCGAGGTCCTCAACGGTCAAAACATTATTATTGAAAATTATTATTGAAAATTTTTATTAACGGTCAGAGTCTCGCTTTTTTCCATGTTTTACGTATATCCCCTGCACATCGAAGTAATCCAAAAAAACTCCGAAAGAATTAACATATGGACCCACGATGTAAAATCTCCATTCATTCCCTCTCCCGCGCTCGATGAAAAGCCTAAACTTGCGTTCGGCTGAATACATTATATCCTCTCGCCTCTCTTGTAAAGCTCGAAGCTTCGCTGGCGGAGGAATTTTTGCATACGTACACATCCGCCGTATATATAAGCTTATTATTCCAGAGTCTCTCTCTCTCTCTCTCTCTCTGTATATGTATAAATGCGATACGGCATCAGCTGGAGTACACACACACAGGCAATGTGTCGCACGAGAAAAAAGCTCGCAAGCTGCGCCGTTATGTATACATATGTATGATACCGAGTATATCGCGCGATACCCGCGATATATAAATGTATACACTTCGCTTCTCTCCGCGCATTTCTGACGTTTTTTTTCGCTCACCGTACACCGCGCCGTAGCGGATTTCTCCTTTCATTTTTTTTTGTTGTTGCTACTTTACTCTCTCTCCGATAATGCGGCAGCAGCAACAGCACTGAAAGGCGCGTCTGCTACCACGACGACGACGACTTGAAAATTGTGTCTAGTTTATTTTATAAATAGGTTGGGTATAGGTATCATTCGCTTCCTCGGCGTCGTTGTCGTTCGCGTAGTTCAGCACAATGGAGTCCTCCTCCCTCCCCCCTTCGAGATTGTGTAATACTTATTAAAATAAACTTTTTTCGTTATTGTTCGGCGCGCGCGCTCGTGTACATAGCTAGCTCGTATAGCTGCTCGGGATTTTATAAAAACCCAATTGTCGAGTATATATACTTTCCGATATCAGCACCGAAGTTGCGCGTGCATATACCTTCTACCTTTTTTTTTGCGCCGTGAAACTTTTAACGGAAAAAAATGCGAAGAAGAAGAATCTTTCGGCGTAGTAGCATAGCTCGCTCGCTTTCTTCTCTATTATCCATGGAGAAATCGCAACAATGAAAAAAGAAGGAAAATATGTTTAAAATGCCTCGATACATCGAGCTCTGCCTGTTACATAATATAATAACGTCGATTAAGAATTATAATGCATCCGTGGCTTCGCTCGAGAGTCATTGAAAATCCAGCCGAAATTGCTCGCATATCTCGTGCTGCATACGCTACATTATATACTATATACGATATAGGTACGTAACATGCTCACGACGACGAAGTAGCCGAGATAATCCGAATGTATGATATGCAGATGTAGCACGTCTCGTCTTACGTATATCTCCGTGCGTCTCGTAAGAGCTTGCGCAAGCTGCAATGTGTGTGTGTATGTGTGCATATACATACGTGTAGGCGTGTCGCTCCGCACTGTTCAAATGCCTGGATTATACCCGCTTGGGATGGTTCTCTCTCACTCCTGGCACGTGATTCCTCGGCATCTGTCTCACTCTCGGCTTCCTAGGAGAGAGAGAGAGAGAGAGAGAAGCTTTTGCGAAGAGAAATGCATCGTCCGAAATGCTGTCTTACCCCGGGCTGCACTGGCTGAATTCCCGCCGCCGCTTTTGCCTACCGGGGGTAGGTAATTTTCCACGTGTACGCCGCGCACCTCTTGGTCAAATTTTGCTTATGTATGCAGTTGCGCCATGGCTGAAATTGCGTGAAATCACACAGTCGCTTATATACGTATACCGAGACTATATATAATATATAT